TGCTAAAAAACATCTTGGAACACATAAAAGAGGACTTGCTAAGAGAGATGAAATCCAACGAGCCCTTGAAGCCATTAAAGCTGCTCACGCTCATCTTGGACATCACGAACAACACTAAGTAATGTGCGTTAAATGATTAGGTTATAATCGAAATATTTATAATTTTTTTATTGTTAATTATAACACAGATTTGAAAAAAGAGGGATAAAATAAATATGAATAATATAATTGTTATTCTCTGATTAAATTATAGTAATTTTAATTAAAAAATACTAAAAAATAGTATTAGATCTTATTAATATGAGTAGTAATCATATTAGTATTCCGATCAATCAGCTAACAGCAAATAACACATTAAAAAAGTCAATCTCTAAACTAATTATTTGTAATTCATTAGATTTCACATCTAAAGATTTTCATCTAGTTTCAGAATATTGTAAATCTGATACAAGATATATTCATATTACATTTGAATATTTGATGAACGAATTAGATAAAGCCAACTGTATATCTTATTTTGAGTTATTTGTATTTCTCTTTGATAAAAGTAAAACAATGAAACAATTAATGTATCCTAGAATTCATAAAATATTTAGTAAAGCTTTTAGCATTTCTTCTGTGAAAGAAAGAGCCATCGAATTATTAAGGGAATTAGATAAAAAGTATGGAGAGTCATATCCTTCTATTAGAACAGAACTTAACACACCAAAATTTTGTCAAACTGAAAAAGATATTGAACAACACAATGAATTTGTAGAAAAAACAAATGAATCTGAATACCAAATTACTATTAAACGAATTGATAATTGGAAAATCCAATGTAATGAAGTTAAAAAACAATGGTATTATACTATGGAACAAGTTCTTCCTCAGTATTATAATAAAAAACAAGAGTATCATGGAGGACCTATTAATTGTAGTTGGGGAGTTACTATTGAACTTTGTCAAACTCCTTATGAAGTTTGGTGTAAATATGGAGGTTCAACTAACCAACGAATAATGATTGAGATGAAAACGTTTAAAGAGAAAATAATTTCTCTTAGAGGAAGCATATGGAATGGATATGTCAGTTTTGTTTTAGTCCAAAGTAAATTGAAAGAGAAACGTACTGAAGACCAAGAATTGTATAAAGAAAAATATAAAGAAATTATTGGTATGATTGATTGTTTAGATGAAATTCTTTATAAAGCAAGAGAATTAAAAATATAATTCATATTTTTTGTGTTTAACCCAATGATGTAAAGAAGAGTGTCTGATAAATAATAAAATAGCAAAGATGTGGATCATTCGCATTCATCACAAGAGCTATTATATTTCAATGAATGAAACACTTGATCTCTGAGGGATGATAATGACATTATTATTTTTTTAATATTTTTTACATAGAAAATAAAATAAATTTCTTTTTTTTTTTAACGTAAACCAATAAATTATTATTATCATATCTTAGTTATATTCAAAAAAGGTGTATTATTTTTAAATCCTTTTAAACACCATTTAGTATTAACAGTTATATCCTTTTTCTGTTTCTTCTTTATTTTTTAAATGATTTATCTACAAATATGACCATTTAAATTTTATCTTTGTAAGTATTTTTATTTATTATCGTACATTCTAGAAATATTTTTACCTTGAGGTTAGTAATAAGATAACACTTACCTCTCCCTTATTGTAATAATAAAAAAACTTTTGTAAGTATCCTTATTATTATGGTAATAATTTAAAAGATTTTTCGTTACAAATTATCTTTTAAATATATTTAAATTAGTATTATTGATAAATAATATTTTTCAAGAACTATTAGTAATTGTTAAATTATTCAAAGAAACTTTTATATAAATTATATAAAGTGGTTGCTTCATAAAATACTTCTATTCACTAAAATTAGGTAAAAGTTATTAATACTTTAATATATTATATTTAGAAAAAAAAAAGAAAAAATTGTTTGTGTTAGAATAATCTATTATTATTTAACTTTAATAAAAAGAGAATTTTGTTTTTTTCCAAGATAAAAATAGGTAACACTAGGATATAATTATATCTTTTTTTTTTCATTAGATAGTTTTGTTTTTTGTAATTTAATTTTTTTTATAATGTTTTAATACTTTAACCAAGTAATCTAAAGCATAGTCTTGCATTGATTTTTCAGTATGATTTGATAAAACAATATTTATGATGGTGGTTATATCAAAAGTAATGATAAATAATGTTTTGTGAATATTATTCATATATGGAATAGTAAAATGAAGAACAATAAGGAATGGAATTTCATTAATAAAACTCATGGGGATGAATAACCTAAATGGTTTAACAGGAATACCAAGACAATACCTTATTATTAACCCATACACATCTGATCCATGACTTTTAAATAATGCATAAACTGCACAAATAAGAAAATGACTTCCAGAGAAATGTTTTTCTGAGAAACTTAAAAAAGCAGAACACCCTGCCCTCATCGCCTTAACAGCTAAACACATGTCATCTATTAAAATATACCTCTGTAATAAAGAAAAAATAACGTTTGATTCAAGAATAAAAGCTATTGATGTATGAACAACCATAATATATAAGCTAGTATTAACTTGATAATCAAAAATAATTCCACTAAAGAAAGTATTGCAATAAGCAAACAGTACTGAAAGGAAAATACGATGAGAAAGATTTTCATACTTTTGTAATGCTTTGTGAATATGAAATTGAGTTGCGGTTGAGTGAATAATTTGACAAATTGGGTGTTGTAGGTAAATACATAATTGTGGAGTTTGATTCATTTGAGAACTAAGAGAATTAAAGCTATTAGATTATTTCATTTAAAAATTTAGAACTCCATTTTATCTTTTATGTTCTATAAATAAATTCACTTTAAGAAGAATATTAAGTATTACATTTATTTTATTTATTTTTTTTTTATTACAAATATACGGGATATCAAATTATTCAAATGATAAACTGAAATAGGAATAATAAAAAAGTATAAGACTAAATAAAATAGGGGGTTGTGCTGAATTTTGACAATCATATTAACAAATTGAGAGACTCTTTCGAGATTATTAACAAAAAAAGAAAAAAAAATAACATAAAAAATATACTATATGGAGAATTAAAATTCGTATATCCACTCATTAAATAAATATAAAAAATGTTTTTGTTTATGATTAATAATGATTAATAACATTAAATTTAATGGTTTGTTATTAGTACATCAAATTTCGATAAAAGGGTTAACAAAAGTTAATAAAAAAAATCAAATAGTAGTCTTAACAATCAAATTAGAATTGAAAAACTATTTCTTATTCTACTTTTAAAATTTTGCAATGAGAATCATTCATTTCACCTTCAATAATAGGTGGGTTATGATTGAAATTCATTCCACGAATTTTAAAACGTACTAATACATCAATTTGTAATTTAGGTGATAATCGTTCACGAACGAGATCAGTACTTACTTTTACATTGAAAATACCATATACCAATAATGCTATATGATCGAAACTTTTTTGACATACAGTAGCAACTAAACAAATAAATTAAATATCAAACAGAATAAAAAATGATAAAAAAAACAAACTTAAGTATGTATTTATTACTGGTCTAAAGACAATACAATTTAATTTTAAATGAATAGTAAGAATACCAGAATCAAAAGAAGTTTTAGTTTTTTCAGGAATCTTGAAATTTTTATAAGACATAATTATTCCTTGGAAAGTACCATTAACATAAGATGTTAAAAGATAACTATCGATAATTTCTTGAATTGAACCTTTAATATTTTTTAAATGATGTGGATATAATGAAATTGAAAATGGTAATTCACAATCAATAAACGGTGTTTTTTCATTTTCTGGAGATGCACGAAGACCATTTAATAAAATATCATATTTAGAAAGAATAGAGATATTGGTTGTAGGTCTAGTCCTTAATTCTTCAATGAAATTAGAGATTGCCTCAGTTGTTTCCTCTAATGAAATTTGTTTAACCTTCATGTTTAAGTAGGTTTTAGTTATTTAAAGATGTATTCTAAAAATAAAAAGGGCTTTTTTTGTTTTTTCATAAAAAATGAAATAAAAATTAATGAAAATAATTCAATTTATTGATGGAAGAGAAAAAGAAGATAGAGACTAAACCCAAAAGTTATCTTAGTAGAAGAGAAAGAAGAGAAGCTTTTAAGGAAAAAATTAAGAGTAGAAAAGAAATGAAAAAGAATAGATTAAATCAATGTAAAGAACGTATTGAACAAAAGATTGAAATTATTGATGGAATGAGATGGGTTGTTCCATATGTTTATTGGTTTGAAGTTATTGTCAAAGAGAGATGGATTGGAAAAGAAGTTAAAGAAATAATGAAAGAAGAATTTCATTATTTAGATGATGATATTACAAAAGCATTTGAAAAGAGACTATTAAAAGTTCAAAGAAATAATAAAGAAATAAATGAGAATTGTATTTTTGAACAAGGAGATATTTTATTAAATCAAATACACCGACATGAATTACCTGTTCCATGTTTATTACCAATTATTCATGAAGATAATGATGTTATTGTTGTCAATAAACCAAGTGGAATACCTACACACTCAGGAGGAAGGTATACTGAAAATACAGTTATAAACATATTAGAAAAAGAACGAAATATAAAATTGTTTGGAGTTCATCGATTAGATCGTTTAACAAGTGGAGTATTAATAATAGCTAAAAGTTCTGAAATAGCAAATGAAATACAACGTCATTTTATAAGTGCACATAAAAAATATATTTGTAGGGTAATTGGCTATATGGGTAGTTGTATTGTAAATAAACCTATTATTGAAACAACGTGTATTACTAAACAACGAGTTACTGTTGGTTCAGAAGGAAAAATATCAACTACAATTTTTGAACAAATTCAATATGACCAAAAAACTGATACAACTCTTCTTTGGGCTATTCCAAAAACAGGAAGGATGCATCAAATAAGAGTTCATTTAAGTTATGAAAATCATCCAATAGCGAATGATTCAATGTATAGAAATAAAAATGAATATTGTATTCATTTTTCTATTCCAGAAAATTGGAAACAACCTGGATGTAAAGAATGTATTTCAGGAATTGAAATACCTCAAGAAAATTTGTGGTTGTCTTGTATTGAACTTTCAGTTGAATATCATGGCACAATAAAAACATTTATCTCCGAGATTCCAAAATGGGGAACAAAAAACTATGATTGTAGTAAAGATCTCCAAGAATGGAGAATGGTTCATAATCAAACACTTTCAGAAGTTAATTAGAAGTTATAACAAGTTGTTGGTGTATGAGATAAAAGAAATGTAAAAAAATGTTTGGTGTGTTCAACTCCAAACAAAACAAAATAATTTGCAGAAAACTAGCATATTTGCAACAATAATTGAAATACACAAGTGAAGGAAACTTTATTTAGTTCCTGATTTTAGTAAAAAGTCAAAGAAAATTCAGAATAAGGAAATGAATTTCAGTTCATCTTGAATCTTATTAATGCAATTTTACCAAAACTTACATCATTGTTTTATTTTTGATAAAAAAGAAACAAACCAAATGTTTATTCCTTGTGCTTTTCATCCTTTACAATTAGATGATTCATCATGTTCTGGTTCTTGTTCTTCTATTATACTTTCACCTATTGACAGAAATTTTGTTCCTCCTCCAAGAAATTCAAATCCAATTCTAAATGATCCGCTCTTTTGTCAGTTACATACTAATATTTCACCTTCAAATATGATTTGTTATTCAACAAGTATTTCTTCAGACTCTTCATTTGATGATTGTTTTGTTTTTGAATAATAAAGGAAATTGTATACTTCATTAACTTTAATATGAATAGGATACCCATTATTTATGATGTTTCTCATTTCAAATTCTATCTAGTTTTTGATATTTTTGTTTTATATTTTAAATTTTTGTTATTTGAAATAGATTATTGAAATATAGGAACAATCTTGAAAAAAAATTAGTAGATTTGATTACAAAAAAAAATAATTCGAGAAAAAACGTAAAAAAATGAAATGAAGGGGAAAAAAAAAATAGAAAATAAGAGATAAGATATTAAGAAGAATCTAAAAGCATCTCAAAAATTTTAAGGAGAAGTTAGATTGTATGACGCAGAAGTTGTTGCCTTCAGATCTAGAAGAAATATTTGAGATTGATATCAACACAAAAGAAGTTAAGAAAAAAGAAGAAAATGAAACAAAAAAACCGAAGAAAATGAATGAACAAAACCAAAAAATTTTACAGAAATTTGATGTTTGTTTAAAGGAGTTATTGATAAATAATTTCATAATAGATAAAAAAAGGATTTATTTATTAGAGTTATGACACAGAACATAATGGAGAATTAGATGTATATCAATTAAAGAAATATATTGAAAAAGAATTTAATATTAGTTTGACAGAAGAAACAATTAAATATCATTGTGGTCAAACATTCTTACAAAAAGCTTATAAAGTTCAAAGAAGTGAATTTATTGCGTTTCATAAATATATTACATCTAATTTAAATGAAATGATAGTTTGTTTCAATTATTAAATAAGTAGTAATAAAAAGAATATAAAGGTATTTATTACTTATAGAAAGAAAAAACAGGAAATATTTTTAATTCATTTGAAAATCAATTTGCTGATAAAACTGGTGTTGATATTCAATATAAATACCTTGACCGAAATATTTTTACCATTTCTTCATTTGATAAACCACATGCACTTATTTCTCCACAACAACAATGTCCAAATGACAAATATCATCGAACTATTTACAACCAATTATTTAATCAATCAATATCAATTTTTCAAACACCAAAAAAATATATTAGTGTATTTGAAGGTAAAGAAATAACAAAAATTTCATTACCATCTAACAATGAAGAATTTAATGTTGACTCACTCATTCAAACAGAAACACATAAACCTGGTTCAAGAAAGAAAAAGAATAAATTTTTATTCCAAAATTTTAATGCTAAAATTACTTCAGATGAATTATTATATTCAACAACATTATGTAATGCTCAACCTCGTTCTATTCAAGAATTATTAAAAATAAGAAAACCTACTATTGTTAATATTACTAAGTTTCAAATAAATATGACTACTGATAATTTATATTGTAGAATGAGTTTATATGATAAAAATTATATTAAATTAACATCGGATTTCTATTTTACATTAACTTCTGATGCTTTAAAAGATCATATAAAAGAAACTAAACCACTTAATGTTCCATTAGTATCAATTCCTTTAAAAGAAGAGTTTATTGGAGAAGAAGAAAATTATGTTGTGTTACAAGTCTATAAACAAATGGATCCAAACATTGATTTTGCACGAGACATTTTTAGTGATGAAGGTCAAAAAGAATTAAAAACTAAAAAGAAGTATATTGATGGAATTAAAGAATCGAACCGTATCTTTGAACAAAAAGGAATGTTACAATTATTAATGTTTAGTGCTGCGTTAATTAAATTTAAACCAAAATATGATCCATTTAAATTAGTTAAGCCAGTAGGAGATCCTAAAGATGTTGTTTCAATGATTAAAGACATTGACAAAATGAAAACATGTGGATATTGGGAATTTGTTTTTAAGCCATCAAAAAAAGAAGATGTTCATTATGATGGATTCATGGTAACTAATACTCAAGATGGTACAAATGGATCTCAATTTTGTACTATGACTGATTTATCAATTCAAGAGAAAGAGGATATTTTTATGGATTATGAAAACTTATTATTTGTTTATCCAACTGAAATTTGTCTTGGTAAAGAGAAAAAAAGAAACGGAGTTTGTGTTACTGTTTATCTAAGAGATAATGATAATGACAAATTTACTCCAGGAGTATCTAAACCAATGGCAGCTATTTATCCAATGGCTAATACTCCTATACAATCTCTTACAAGGTCATTCACTACTGCCGTATCAGTAGATAAGATTGGTCATTTTATTGATGAGATTA